TTATTCACAATAGCCAAAATATGGAAATAATCTAATTGTCCATCAGTGGATGAATGGGGAAAGAAATTATATACGCAGACATACACACACACATAGGCACACACATCATATACACAATGGAATGTTATCCAGCCTTAAAAGGGAAGGAAATCCTATCATTTGCAACAATATGGATAAACCTATGAAGCATTCTGCTAAATGAAATATGCCAGACAAAGAGTGACAAAACTGCATGGTATCACTTATATGTGGAATGTAAGAAAAAAATTGAGCTCAGAAACAGTAGAAAAGTTGGTGCCAGGACCTGAGAGGTGAGGGGACACATGGAGAGATTGGTCAAAGTGTATAAACACTTCTTACTTCTGTAAGAAGAATGGGTCTGAGGATCTAATACGTAACATGGTGACTATAGTTGCTAACACTGTATTATATAAATGAAATTGGTAAGAGAGTAGAGCTTAAATGTTCTCACTAAAAACAAACAAACAAACAAAAACATGGTGTTGTGTGTGTTAATTAATTTGATGTAGGGAGCTCATTTACAGTGTATAACTATATCTAATCATTGTGTTGTATACTTTAAATATCTAACAATTTTGTCAGTTGTATCTGAATAAAACTGAAGAAAGATTCTTCCATATATTTAAGGAAGACATTACACTACTTGGAAAACTTCCTAACTCCTTGTATGAGGCCAACATTACTGTAATACCAACCAGACATTACAGGAAAGAAAATCTACAGACTAGTATCTTTCATGAACGTAGATAAAAATTCTAAACAAAACACCAACCTAACCCAACAATGCATTAGAGAATTATAGCCTATGACCCTGGGATTTTTTCTTGGTCTGCAGGACTCACATAACATTCAGAAATCAATGTGTTGCATCACATTCAATGGGCTAAAGAACAATAGGCACTCTCAGCCAACCTAGAATAGAGGGAGAACTTTCTAAACTTGACAAAGAAAAAATATGAAAGCCCTACAGCTAACATCATACATGATGATGAGAAACTAGATTTTTTTCTTCCTAAAATCAGGAAAAGAACAAGGATGTTGCCTCTACCACTCCTATTCAACATCCAATAAGACGGGAAAGAAAATATTTACAGATTGGGAAGGTTTAAGTTTGTTTATAGATGACATGATTGTGTATAAGTAGAAAATATTAAAAAGTTAACAAAAAAACTACTGGAAGTAATAAGTACATATAGCAAGGCTCAAGATACAAGGTTAATATACAGAAGTCATTTGCTTTCCTATATACCAGCACATCAAAGGAAACCATCAATTTGCAATTAAAAATACAGTGCCATTTACGTTAACATAAAAAAGAGAGAAACAGGTATAAATTAGGAAATAAACAAGACCTACATGAGGAAATTTATAAAATTCTGATGAAAAGAAATCGAAGATGAAAGACCTAAATAAATGGAAATATGTTCTATTTTCATTTATAGGAAGTCTTAAAATTTTATCAAGATAAAGAAGAACTTTATCAAGTTCTTCCCAAATGATTTTATAAATTCAATGCAATTTCAACCAAGATCCCAGCAGGTCATTTTGTGAATATTGACAAATTGATTTTAAAAGATATATGGAGGGCAAAGCGCCCAGAATAGCCAGCACAGTGTTGGAGGCCTGACAGTTTCTGACTTCAAGCCTTACTATAAAGCTACAGTAATGAAGTCAGTATGCTACTCACAAAAGAATAGATAATATATCAAAGGAACAGAATAGAGGGTCCAGAAATAGATCCACACTAAGATAGTCAACTGAATGTTGATAGAGAGTAAAGTCATTTAACGGAGAAAGACAAGTATTTTTAATAAATGGTGTTGGGACAACTGGACATCCACATGCAAAAAAGAAAAATAATCTAGACAGCTTATTACACTTATTACACTTTTACTTTTATTATGGATCTTACAGTTTTCACAAAAAATTCAAAATGAATCAACAGACTTACATCTAAAACACAAAACTATAGAACTTAACAGAATATAGCAAAAAGGGAAAATCTCAGTTACCTTGGGTATGGCTATAACTTTTTGGATGCGACACCAAAAACCTGATCCATCAAGGGAAATATTGCTAAGTTGGACTTTATCAAAGTGAAAAGCTTGTTCTCTAGGAAGGACATTGTGAAGAGAATGAAAAGACAAGCCATAGCTAGGGGGAAAATATTTGCAAAACATATCTAATAAAGACATATCCAAAATATACAAAGAACTGGCAAAACACAATAATAGAAAACAAACAACCCAATTTAAAAACAAGCAAAAGATCTGAACAGACACCTCACTAAGCAGTGGGGAGAGAATTATATGTTAAAACTACCATGAGATACTACTACACAACTATTACAATGGCTAAAATCCAAAACACTAACAATACAAAATGCTAGAGCAGCTACAACTCTCATTCATTGCTGGTGCTAATGCAAAATGGTAATCAGTTTATCAGTTTCCTTCAAGTCTAAACATAGATAGTCTTACCATGCAATCTACTATTCATGCTCCTTGTTATTATCCAAGTGAGTTGAAAACTTACACCACACAAAACCTTACACATATATGTCTAGAGCAGTTTTATTTGTAAATGGTCAAATTTGGAAGCTACCAGAATGTCCTCATATAAGTGAATTGATAAACAAACTTATACATTCAAACAATGGAGCATTACTCAGTAATGAAAAGGAATGGACCACCAAGTTATGAAAAGACATGGAGGAAGCTTAAATGCTAAGAAAAAGAAGTAAGTCTGAAAGGTTAGATACTGTAAGATTCCAAATATATGACATTCTGGAAAAGGCAAAGTTATAGAGAAAGTAAAAGGGTCAGTCATTGCCAGGATTCAGGGGATGAAAAAGGAGGAATGAATAGATAGAACTGAGTGGATTTTTAAGACAGGGAAACTATTCCTTATGATACTGGTGATAATGGTGAATATATGACATAATCCATTTATCAGTACCCATAGAACTAACTATACCACACTAAGATCAAACCCTAATGCAAACTATGGATTTTAGTCAATAATAAAATATCAGTACTGGTTCATCAATTGTAACAAAAGTACCACACTAATGAAGTTGTTTTGTTAAGGGAAACAGCGGGAGGGGAATATGTGAGTCAGTATATATGTGAATGCTCTGTGCTTTCTGCTCAATTTTTCTTTAAGCCTAAATTTCTAAAGAATAATATTTATTAATGAAAATAAAACTCTTAGTAAAATGGGAATTCAAGGACAGTATTAGATTATCATACAAGTGTGTAAATATGTAACCCCAGAAATGCTCATTGAAACATTGTTCATATAAATAGAGTCAGTGCCTGTAATTATAATATGTAAATACATTGCCAAATTATGCAGCCACTAAAATGATGAAAGTGGAGATGAAGGTATGAGTTAGAAATTTAGGAGTTAGAATTTATAGGACACAGTGACTGACTATGAAGGAAGGAATGGAATCCAATATCCTGTGTAGATTTCTGCCTTGGACTGAACTAGAGTGAAGAGTCGTGATTATGATCCATCTAGTCTTGGACTCTGTGTTTAAAGTTTTTATAGGTCAGGGATGCCTGAGGGGCTCAGCGGTTGAGCGTCTGCTTTTGGCTCAGGGTGTGATCCCAGGGTCCAGGATGGAGTCCCACATTGGGCCCCATGAGAGGAAACTGTCCTTCTGCCTGTGTCTCTGCCTCTCTCTCTGTGTGTGTCTCATGAATAAATAAATCTTAAAAAAAAAGTTTCTATGGGTCATAATGCCCAGGAAGCAATCAGATATATGGGTCTTAGGGGAGTCTGGGTGGCTTAATCAGTTAAGCATCTGACTTTTGATTTTGGTTCAGGTCATCATCTCAGGGTTGTGAGATCGAGCTCTGAGTTGGACTCTGCTGATTGTGGAGGCTGCTTAAGATTCTCTCTCTCTCTCTCTCTCTCTCTCTCTTTTCCTCTGCCCCTCCCCTGCTCAGGTTCTCACTCTCTAAGAAAAATAATAAATAGATACAGAAAAAAGAGATATACAGGTCTTTAACAAGAATAGATTTGGATAGTGTGAGCTCTAGGAATGATGTAATCACCTGGTGAAATTGAGAGGATTAGAGGCCAGCAAAGTACAAGTAAAACCAGGAGAAAACCATGTTGTAAAAGTCAATGGAGACTAGAGTTCCAGGAGAGAGAATGTTTAACAGAGATCAAGTAAAATCAGACTGAAAAATGAATATTGCATGTTATAGCATGAAGTCATGAAGTTACTGCGGACCAAACCATGCTGACAGATTGTTAGCATTTGAATCCTGATTGTTCTGGTTCAAATAGACCTGTTTGTCCTGAAAATGTTTTTCTTGGAACATTAGTCCTATAATCCTTCTTACAGCCTTCTGCCTGCTAGTCTTCATCATGAATCTCCTAAACAGCATTTCTCAGATTTATTTGATGGAGGAACTCTTGAGCCATTGTGTTAGCATTTTTCAGATCTGATGTTCCTTAGAATCAGGGAACAGCAGCATATACCAATCTTTGAAGAAGCTTGATGACAAAGACATTGGATAGGCAGGCTAGTAACTAATGGGAGTATTTAGGGCATGAAACTGAAACTTCAGGATATTTATTTCAAGCAGAGTGAGGGGACTAGGGGATATAGAGAGGTTATTATTATAGGAAGGGAGGTTCTTGGAGTCCTAGAAGAAGTGAACAGGAATAAGACCCTGAAAGTGAGTATAGTTTTGAACAAATGTAGGAAAGTGAAAAAAGATGCAGATAATTGAGGGCAATAAAGACAGATTCTCTATTTGGTGAAGCAGAACAATAGCTTGTCTTGCAGACACAGAATAGAAAAGACTCTTCTCTGCTTTTGAAAAAGAAAAATTAATGGAGACTGTGATATTACTTGATATTTCCAATTCTGTTACTTAGCGGATGTGTGAGATGTCTCCAAGTAGAAATTTCTGATAATACTGGAGTCTCAATGATTTTCTAAATTCTGTATTTCACAGGATGCCAGACATGCGGCTGAAGAAGAGATTTATACCAACTTAAACCAAAAGATTGACCAGTTTCTACAGCTGGCTGACTATGATTGGATGACTGGAGATTTGGGCAACAAAGCCAGTGATTACCTAGTAGACCTCATTGCCTTTCTACGAAGCACTTTTGCTGTATTCACACACCTTCCTGTAAGTGACAATTGCTCTTACATTGCCCATCATGTAGAAAAATGTTTTCTTAAAATCTAGTTTGGTGAAAGATGTTTGTGCTTTAACTACCTGGTTAGCTCTTTAGGATATAAAAGCTCATACTATAATTATCAACCCTAGATGAACTCTAAAGACCTCTCCATCATTTTTTCATTGACTTTTAGATTCTGTTTGACAATGGTCCCTAATATTATGTCTATTTCTGTTCCTCCTAACTTCACCTAAAGTAATTAGTGCAAACACATAGTGAATGCCATGGTAGAAACAGAAGAAAAACTTAGGAGTTAGGATATCAAGTGTGTATCTTTTAGTCCTAAATATCCATTTAATTTTTTTAACATCAAATTCTCTGGTGAAATTCTCCATCTTTTTATCTGATTTATCTAAATTTTCTCTATTTTCTTGAGTATATTAGTCATTTTAAAGTTGTTTTTTACTAATGATAATGTGTAGTTCATCTACACATAGGTGGAATTGTTTCTGATTTTTTTTTCTTAGTTATAAGTCATACATGATCCTATCTCTTCTATTTTTTAGTTGATGTTAGACATTGCATTTAAACACATAGAGGTTCCAGGTGGTAACATCTCCCACCAGAATTGATGTATCCCTTCCTTTCTAAGTAGTTAGCATGGGCAGGTGTGTTATGGAGTGAGCCTCATTACCTTAATCTCATCATGGGCTAATCTGGGTCCAGTTTAGTTCGCAGATGCAATGTACCTTTCGTTTGCTTCTGTGGCTAGGATATAATTCTTCAGAGCTTTTAATGAGAGCCTGGCACATCGTCATCTTTTCAGAACCAAGAGGACTATGGAATTTGCCACGTTTCAGAGAAACCTTAGCTTTTCATCCTCCTGCCTTTTTAAAATTTAGAATTTGGCAAATGTTTTGAGAAGGAGGATTAGCCAGATCAGCCATTGCCGACAGGAAAAAAGTGGTTGGAGATTGTCAATTTCAGTTCCCCACCCCTTCAAGATCTTCAGCTTCCACCTGAGATTCTCGTGAATCCTCCCACATGTGAGTCTTTTTCTGTGAAACACTGTAAGACTGTGGGGAATCTTAGTTTTCAAAGGTCATGACTTAGACCCTCACCTGTTTAGCTTTAGAATTCAGAAAATGTCTTGAGGCAAAAACCAGCCTTCAGATCTCCACTTTTGGCACTCCATCCCCATGGAAGCAACAAAAATTCAGTGATTTTTTTTTTCACCCCAGTAATTACTCTCTGCTTGCCCCTAACCCAGATTCTCAGTCTGTTACTATGCCTATGTTTGGCAGATGCCTCCAGGGACAGCTGCGGAGCCTCAACTCACCTTGAAAAGGTCTGCCCTCTTTGCAGCTTTATTCCCTATAGTCCTTATTGCTTCCTGGTTATCTGGTATCTCTCTGTTTTTTACTGCCATTTATACTGCTTGGTGAGACCATAGGCCTACAGAAAAATAGGTCATTTCATCTAGCTTCACCTTGATACTAAAGCCAGACAAATGTAGCACAATAGAGCAAATGATGAAACAATAAATAAATTTTAGCCAGTCAATTCCTAAGTGTTTAAGAAAATAATTTACCACAACTATGAAGGACTCATTCTAGAGATGCAAGGATGGTTTGATATTTAAAAAATTTCTTCATCTAATTGATTACATTACTAGGTGAAAGTTATGAAGATCATCTTTGTGTATTCAAAAAAATTACATTGCACATCCAGCCTGCATCCCTGATTTTTAAAGAAACTTACTAACACTCATATATAATATTTCAATAATATGATAAAGAGCATCTATCTGAAATTTAGCAACCACCATAGATTTAATAGTAGAACACTAAAAACATTTATTTGCATTTACATAAAAAATGTGGCATAGATGCTTCTTACTAGTGCTTTAGAAGTTCTATCAAATATAGTAAAAGAAAGAAATAATAAATGCAACCATTGTTCAAAGATTATTACTGTGTGGTTTGATAACCCCCAGAAAATCAACTAAAAAATAATTAGGACCAATAAGACTTTAGTTATATGGTTCACTTAGAAAACAAATCAGCTTCTCTTGTATTAGTAATACTTTCATAGAAAATGTATTGCAAAAAAATGCCCTGTTCATTATTGGACTATAAAATCTCTATAAGTATACTTAATAAGTTATATGTAGGACTAATGTGAAGAACATGTCACAGAACAATTTAAAAGAAGCTTTATTATGTACAAATACATACAGCATGTTAGGTGGGAATATTTCATACTGAATGAATTTTTCCAAAATTATCTAATTGCAATAATTATAAAGTGAATTTAGTGGTGGTGGGTTATCTTAACTAAATAGTTCTAAAATTTATTTGCTGACAAAAATGGGCAGTATTTGCCAAAAAAATATGAAAAAGCAAATTGAATGTGGTCTTTTCCTATCAAGTATAGAAATGTTACTATAAACCAAAAATAATTTAACTGATACCCTTATCACACTGAAATACACTGATAGATTAAAGGAAGAGAACATAAAATCTATAAGTAGTTCCAAGTATGTAAGAATTCGGTGTACGGTAAAGGTGGCATTACAATTCCCGGAGCCTGTACTACCTGCTAATTTGGATAAAAGGATGTTTTCATATATCAAAATAAATTCTAGATCAAATGCATGTTTACATTTTACTGTATTTAAATTTTTGTTTTAGATTTTACTTAAATTTAAGCTAGGTAACATATGGTGTATTATTAGTTTCAGGGATATAATTTAGTGATTCATCAGTTGCATGTAACACCCAGTGCTCATTACATCAAGTGCCCTCCTAGAATTTAGTGATTCATCAGTTGCATATAACACCCAGTGCTCATTACATCAGGTGCCCTCCTTAATGTCCATTATCCAATTACCCTATCCCCCTACCCACATGTTCACATTTTTAAAAAGAAAGAAATTATAGAAGAACTAATAAAAATATTAGCAAATATTTCTGTAATCTGAAAATAAGTCAGCATATTAAGGATGACACTGAGTGAAATCTTTAAGGAAAAGGTTAATCATTTGGCTGCATAAAATGTTTTGTAAGATACCTAAAAAGAACTAATAAAGAAATAGAATGTGAACTTATTACAAAAGTAATTAACAAGTATTCCAAAAGGTTAATATCTTTTTTGTAGTATCTATATTACAATATAGATACAATAATTTTTAATTATTACAAAAGTAATTAACAAGTATTCCAAAAGGTCAATATCTTTGTTGTAGTATCTATATTACAATATAGATACAATAATTTTTATAATATCTATATTACAATAATAACACATTGTTTCCAACCAGTAAGAAGAAGGCATAACCTATTGGGGAGATTGGCAGATATTGCATTTTAGGCAATCAGAAAAGAAGAAAAATAAAAGACTAAGGATAACATGAGAAAAATGTATAACTCAGGTAATAAGAAGGCATGCATATTAATGGGATGGGATTTTCTTGCCTCTAACCTTGCCAAAAGCAAATAAAATGATAATGTTCAATACTTACAAGAAATATTTCCCCAAACAGGTATTCTGATATGGTGCTGGAGTGTGTGTAAATTGGTATATTCTTCTTGGTGGTCAGTCTTTCAGAATGCCTCAAAAATCTCTTAAAATTTGTTTACCTTTGACCTTGCAATCCAACCCCACCTTCGGAAATCTTACTTAATGAAACAATTATGGATATATTATACAGTTCAGATGTAATAGTATGTTCAACATAGTATTGTCTTTTGCATAGTGGAGTTGGGAATAAATTAAAAGCCAGTACAGATGTGTTAGCTCAATAAATTAATATATATTCGTATAATATGATATCATTCATTAAATTAGTGGAGATGGATATTTTATCAACTTAAAATATGTTAATTATTTCTTGATTGGGAAAGCAGATTGCAAAAAACTTTTATACAATAGGATCTCACTTTTATTAATATAGATACACACAAATCATCTATATTATGTACAGTAAAACTCTAGGATTATAGACTTCCTGGTTTAACTGTTCTGTATAGCTTGCTTTTATTTTCCTTTTTGTTTATCTGTGTTTAAAAATTTTTTTTTCTGTCATGAAACATTTACTGCTTTTGTAGTTCTGGAGGTGGGGGGAAGGTGATATTTAGAACTATTATTCTCTGTTCCAAAGTTATTCTGTCCTTGATAATTAATTTATATTAAAAAACCCCACTTTTATTGAAGAAAGAGTTTTACAAATGTGTTTCATTTTGTGGAAGGAAAATGGCCAATAGTATTTTGGCTGTAATTTCTTCCCCAACACTGTACAGTTACTTGAGTGAGTCAGATTTTAGAATTCATGGGAAATAAAATGCAATAGTTCAAATTCAAATCCATCCTGGACAGGTGTTCCCTATATTCATCTTCCTTGTTTTTTTTCTGTTCTTAAAATATAAAAATGACACCCTAATAATCGTGACTATTTATATGTGTCATATAGTGAATTGGTTCTTATATATACTATAGCTATCATATGTCAACCCCTTACTTTAATGTCAGCAGTACTGTTAATCAGACTCATGTTGGTCTAACACAAAGTATACGCCTTTTCCTCTAGTAGAGTTGTGACCTTTCTTGTAGGTCTATTCTGGAAGTAATCTGTTGAGAGTTTTTCCTGTTTTTGTTTATTTTGAGCTGCCATTGCTACTGAAACACTATAACATCTTGGTGTTGATCTGGTTGATTGTACTATTCAGAATCAAAGTCGGAGGTAACCCCCGAGCCCTAAATCCACAATATTGCTTCCACAAATGCCATGTTTCTTTGTAGTCTAGGATAGAGATTTTCTTTCTGAGGCTACTGTTTCAAAAAGTATTTGTATTCACCAATCATTATATTCTCTAGAATCGAATTGGTACAGCTTCTAAAACTACCACTTCTTCTGGTTTTTACACAGATAGCAAAAGAGACTGCCCAGCATCTGTGTTTATGTTCCTCAGCACACTAGATAACATCTTCGGGGAAGCTCATATTAGTA